TTGTTGCAAAGGGGGTAAATAGTGAAAAAAAAGGATCACCAGTCTGGAAGGGTTGGAAGTTATTTTTTGGTGTGGATAAAGGGAAAAAAAAATTTAGCAGGAGACAGTTTTATGCCCTCGTTATTTGTAAAAAGGCTAGGCAGTTGCATGAAGTTTTGGAAAATAAATTCCCTGAAAATAGGGGTGAAGTGGTGATTTTAAGGCCAGAAAAAGGCTGGTTTGAGAGTTTTAAGAAGCGTACGGGCAACACAGTGTGGTAAGGCAGGGAAGATGGGAGGGAAAGAAGGTGCCTTTTTTCAGAAATTAAGGAGTTTTTTATTTTGGGGGGTAAGAGGGAAAAAGATTTTGGAAAAACTCACCAGAAAAGGGATGTTGAAACCCATTTTGGCAATTTGTACAGTGACAGAGTCTTGGCCCATTTTGGGGAAAGTTTTAAAAGAGACCCCAAAACAGAGCTCTCTGCACAGTTATTTTGCGAGCGGGACCCCAAGGACTCTAAAGCGGGTCCTAGGGGCATTTATTTATTTTTTTTATTATTTATTTATTTAAAAATTTGTGCACATACAGAGGTAAAAAAAAATACAGAAAAGGCAGTATGCCAAACCACTTATACTATGCTGCTTACGGGCGGGTTTAAAATTAACTTAAGTAAAAACTAAGCAATTTTGACATCGGTGATAAAACTTTAATGAAAAATTTTTTCATAAAGCAAAATTGAGTATTCAAAACAGGTCATTGGTTTATGATTGTTGTAATTCAGTGAAGGGATATTCTGTTGGGTAGTGTTTTTTAAAAAATAAAAAAGTTGATTGGGTTTTGGGTTTTAACATTTATGTTAAATTGGAGAAAATTAAGATATACAATTTATAAGGTTAGTTATCGTTTTATTTGGTTTTGGGTGGAAAGTGTCTTTGAAAAGAGATTTGATTTTAAACAGGTAGTGTTTTTTTTATATTTACAGGTAAGGTTCAGTTTTAGGGCCTTTATTTTGCTTTGATTTTTTCATGTGTAGATGGACCGAGGAACAAAAGGTGATCTGTGCTTGTGTTAGGTCAGTGTTCGTTGAGGTTGGCAGGAATGTTTGAGGGGGGGGTTTAATTTCAGATTTTAAGTGTTCTTGTTTTAATAGGTGCAGTAATAAGTATGAATGTTTTGTATGGTGAATAGGTTTAGTGTATTAAATATTGGTGGAGTGGCTGCCTATAGTGAAAAATTTGTTATCTTTAACTGCACCTTTTTTTGGGAAATTAGTGGTCTGAGATGGTTACTTTTTGTTGGCCCCATGCAAAAATTTCCATAGGTGAGATGGGGGTAAAAAAAGAGGGAATGGGCCCCGGAGGGTGTGTGGAGATATACCGTATTTCGATAGTATCCTACAGTTTGGAAATTTTCTTAGAAATTTGTTGTATATGTGTATGAAATTTAGTCTTTAAAAAGGTGGATTCCAAAAATTTTCCCTTGTTAGCTTGTGATAGGTGCCGTTTTCATTTTGTTAAGAGGGACATCTGTGCTCTGTTACCAAACTGAATGAAGTAGGTTTTTGTCAATGTTTAGTGTAAGTTTGTTAGTCCCCTCCAGGTAGATATTTTCTGTAATTCTGTATTTTCAGTTTGGGTAGCGTATGGGGTCGGGTGGGGGAAAGAGTATGTAGTGCATCTGCAAAAATTGGGGGGTTTAGTAAAATTTCGAAGCATTTTGGGAGGTCATTTTTGTATAGGGGAAAAAAGAAGAGGGCCAAGGGACACTTCCCTGTGGGACACCAACTGTAATTGGTTGTGCAGAAGAGTTTGTCCCATTTGCATTTCCTATTGGTTTTGTTGCTGAGGTAGACTTTAGGTATTTTGGGGGGTGCCCTCTTTACCTAGTGTGACAATTTTACGTGGGGCAAGTCTGGTTAACTGTATCAAAAGCTTTTCGTAAGTCAATGAAGATCCCCCGTGGGACTTCTTTTTTCTCTATTGCGGGATTATGTTCTAGCATGTGTATAATAGATCATTAGATTTTTATTTGGGCCCGAATCCAAATTGGCGGGGTTGAGTATGTTTTGGAGATAAGGGAGGGGTAGTTCGTTTAATGTTTTAAATTTTTTGAAGATTTTGAGGAGGGTGTAAGTTGGATATTGGCCTATATTATTCAACTCTGTTTGGTCTCCCCTTTGTGGATGGGTGACCCCTTTCTATTTTTAGTAGTGGGGAAGGTGGAGGATTCAATGGATTTGTTTTAAAAGTGTTTCAAAGATTGGTGATAGACTTTGTGACACTTTTTTGTAATAAAGGGTGGGAAAGGGATTTAAATCTCCTGCCTGTTTTTTTGCGTGTTGATAATAAGGGAGATTGTATGGTTAGTCGGAGCAGGAACAGTGTGTTTGGGTAGTTGCCCGTGAGGTAGTCATTTGGTGGGGTATTGAGCTTGGGATTTTTGGCAAGGTTTTTTCCCATAGTGGAGAAGAATCTTGAGTCTGTTTTTCTGTTTCTGTTGGTGGTAGTTGGGGTTCATTGATTTTTCTAATTTTTTTTTCGCTATTCGTGTATCTTTTTGTTCCTAGAAATTTTTGATAGGGTTTTTCCCGGGCTTTTTTATATCACCTCGAAGTTGGAATTGTTTTCATAATACAATTTTTTTGCCCCTTTTTACAGGTGGTTAGGATTGACGGTAACGTTTTTTTTTGGGCTCTGGTTAGTGACCCATTCTGTATGTTTTTCTATTTGGGTTTTGTATTTTGGATTTGAGAATGCTGGGTGTTAACCAGGGACTGTTCGTTCCTTTGCTGTCATCTGTTTAGTTTTTTTTGGGCAGGTTGTTATAGAGGATTGGGTCTTTTTAGAAAAATTAATTTCATTCGTCAAAAATCTGTTAGATTTTAGCTCGTGTCAGTCATGTTTGTACTTGTTGTGAAGTTATAATGGCTGCCTCATTGTGAAGTCTGAAGGGGACTTTAGTTGTCTTTGGGGGAATTTACCAAGAGTTGTTTGAAAAAAGTGGGGAGTGGTCTGTGGTATTACGTAATTAGCCTGTTTTTAAAAGGGGGATATGGTTTTGGGTCCAATGTGGTCAATAGGGAAACATAGTCCGAAACTCTTGTAGGTTTTGTTACTTTTGGTGAAATACAGTTATCTTGGTTTTGAATTCAGAAGTTGGGTCCGGGTCTTGAGGGATTTATATTGAAGCCCCCTGAGGTAGTAAGTGTCTTTTTTATGCGTGATCAGTTTTTCTACTTCCTGGGTTTTGACAAATTGGTAATTTTTTTGACTGTGGAACCGTAAATGTTTATCAATGTGAGGGTTTTTTGTAGGTATTTGGATTTAAATTTTGGGTATTATTATTCCCCATGTTCATCCCTTGTGCAAGTATTGGTGCATTCTGTTGGTGGGGTATAATGGCTGTGCCCCCCCCTTTTTGGTCTGGCCTACAGTTGTGTATGGCTGTGTAACCAGGAATGGCATGACATCTGTACTATCAGGCTTTAGGCCGGGTTTTTTCAGTTAGTGTAATGATGGACATATTGGCATGAAAGGGAAAATTTAGTAATGCTATGGGCACGATGTTTGTTTAAAAGATCTGATATTGTTTAAAGATAGTTATTTTGTTTTTGGGACTGAAAAGGCCTTTGATTGTTCTGCGTGTAGTAATTACAGTAACTTTTTTGAATCATTTAAGTCTTTAAATAAGGGGTTTGGTTGGATAATGCTTGTAATCATTAAAAACAGGAAAAGAAGAAACCCCCGAAAAAAATGGTCCCTGAGGTGTTGGGGAAAGGGGGATTCCCCCCCCAAACTATAAACAACCCATTTCCCCTCCCCCTCCATCTCCCATCACTAAGAAGAATCCCCAAAAAAGGTAGTGTTATGCTTTTAATGTTTCATTCATCTTTTCCCATTGTTTTGTTTATGTATACATAATATTTCAGAAAAAATTTTTTTTTGTTTTAATACTTCGGGGTGTCGGGAAACGGTTAATTGAATTTACATTTTTTCTTAGGGGTAAAATTGTTCGTAAATCAAAATTTTCGAAAATCGACCGGCTTCCAGGAAGGATTCCCGTCGATAATCGAGGGCCCACTGTATATATATATATTATTATATATTATATATATTATATATATATATATATATAATTAAAATTTTATATTTTTTATAATATATATATATTTTTTGTATATGTTTTTTGCAAGATGCAGATTTTTCCATGGTTGCTCCTGTTTAGGAGAAGAAACCTTTGAGTAAAAAAATTAATCTCTATTTTTAATTTTTAAAATTTCCCAAAAATTATTTGACAGATCTTTCATGCATCAGTTAATATTTGAAGTACTGCTGGACAGATTGAATTATGGAATTATATTAAGAGGTAGAGAAAAGAGCAAGAGTCTCTCTCCGCCCGGCCCATCCTGGAAGATCTGTCATTTAGCAGAGCCTTCAACATAGGGGGGAGTGGGTGGTGTTATGTCAAGGCCAATATTGTCAAAGTACCACACTTGGATCCACTTTGAGGAAGCGTGAAACAAACTTTTAGCCCCAAGTCGGGAAAGCAGCAACTTCACTCTGGCGTACCCCTTCCCAGAAATTCATCCCTTGAGATCCTTTTACCCGGTGACTCGAGATGGAACACATTGTACGCATAATATTCAACGAGATAAAGTCAGTTGATCAAATGAAAATGCTGACCAAAAAGATGGCTCCAATTTATCCCGTTCCTACTTGTATGTTCTAACAATAAAAAAATTTTTAAAAGAGCTGATGTAGGAACAGCTCTTAGTTGCCAATAAAATTGGAATCCTTAAACCCGAAATAGCTTGTCAAAAAAGCTAGGGATCCTTAACCTTGTCAAACCCTGTGTAAAAAAAAAAAAAAAAAAAAAAATCGGAAAGTAAAGAAATATATAGTCAATTTTGATTATAAAGCATCATAACTGTAGCTCTGTCAATCTAGCTACAAATAGGAAACTGCATTTTTTAAATTAAATTAAATTTTTTTCAGGTTAGGGTAAAACTTTTTTTTTTTTTCCCAGATGGTTCCCCTGCTGGAGGTAAACTTATGGAAGTATGTGCTGAAGGAAAATGCAAGAATATTACAACATCTTCAAATGGTGTTCTGGACTTCATTGTTCCACTTTCTATAAGCAAACATATACAGGTATATAGAGTTGTTATACTGTACTTAGCATTAATATTTTGTAATATCATTTTCTGTGGTGTGACTCTCGGGTCTGTATAAACACGACTAGCCAACAGTTACACTTTTATTGGCCCTTTAAGAAGATAAGATAAGATTTCGTTCGGATTTTTAACCCCGGAGGGTTAGCCACCCAGGATAACCCAAGAAAGTCAGTGCGTCATCGAGGACTGTCTAACTTATTTCCATTGGGGTCCTTAATCTTGTCCCCCAGGATGCGACCCACACCAGTCGACTAACACCCAGGTACCTATTTGCTGCTAGGTGAACAAGCACTTCCAGTATGGTGCACCTCACATTTTTCAGTTCATTAGGCCTCCTACCTCTGTTTCTATCTTTATTTCTCTTTGCAACCAGAGCTATATAGCAACAGTTAACACTGTTGTCTCTTAATAATAGATATATCTACTATGGGTGTTTCTTTTTTTCTCTGATTGTAGCAAATCTTTGATCCAAATATGAGATAGATCCTCCTGCCTGTCGAAGAGAGCTAAATAAGCCATTCTTCCTGCTTTGTTCACCAGCTCCCACAGTCACACTATCTGTCCGGGTTGCCCCAAAGCATACCGAAAGGGCATGTAACCGGTAGAAGAATACAGCAAATGGTGGGATCCTCAGTAATTTTACGAGTCTTCACCACCTTTCTGGGGTCGAGGGTGTGAAATAACCTTATCCCTTAGAGTTTTTTTTTTTAAATAATGTTAAGCGTTAAGCCCATGTGGGTCATTCAGTGCAAGACGTGGAGGAGGTTCGATCCTCCATCTGCCAAGCAACAGACAGACGTGCTTGCTAAAAAGGGTGTAAACTTTGTCAAATTTGGGACTCTGAAGATCTCTAGCATGATTTTACTTTCAGCATAGTTCTAGAAGCCTTGTTTATTTATTTATTTATTTATTTATTTATTTTTTATTTATTACCAATTTGAGCACACATACAGAGGTACAAAAAAATACAGATAAGAGCAGCATGCCAAAGCCACTTATACTATGCATAGCATTACGGGCTGGCTTAAAATTAACTTAAGATTAACTAAGCAATGATGAAATCAGTGATAAAACATTAATGTAAACAGATTACTATAAAGCACAAGTGAGTATTACAAAGACAGGTCATATGGTTGCATTCAGTCATATGAAGGATTCTGTTAGGTAGTGTATTTAAAAAATAATAAAGTTAGATTCGGTTTTAGGTTTAACATTTATGTGATATAATTGTGAGAAACATTTAAGTTATACAATTTATAAGGTTCAGTTATTCAGTATTTTTGGTTTTGGGGTGAGTAAGTGATCTTTGAGAAGAGACTTGAATTTATAAACGGGTAGTGTTTTTTTTATATTTACAGTAATGAATTCCAGATTTTGGGGCCCTTTTTAAATGTGCATTGATTTTTTTTGCATAGCATGAGATGGACACGAGGAATATCAAAGAGTGATCTGTGCCTTGTGTTATGGTCATGTGTTCTGTTGGGGTTGGCAAGGAGATGTTTGAGGGGGGGGTTAATATCAAGTTAAGTTTTCTATGTATGTAATAGGTGCAGTAATAAGTATGGATGTTTTGTATGGTGATTAGGTTAGTGTATTGAATATTGGTGGAGTGTGCTGCCTGTAGTGAGAAATTTGTTATCATTCTAACTGCAGCCTTTGTTGGGTAATTAGGGTCTGAAGGGTTAATTGTTGTTGAGCCCCATGCACAAATTCATAGGTGAGATAGGGTAAATAAGAGAGTGATATAGGGCCAGGAGGGCTGACTGTGGAACATAGTACCGTATCTTCGATAGTATGCCTACAGTTTTGGGAAATTTCTTAGAAATTTGTTGTATATGTGTATGAAATTTGAGTCTATTATCAAGGTGGATTCCTAAAAATTTTTTCCCTCTGTTAGCTTTGTGATGGGTGATCCGTTTATCATTATGTTAAGAGGGACATCTGTAGCTCTGTTCCCAAAACTGAAGAAGTAGGTTTTTTTCAATGTTTAGTGTAAGTTGTTAGTCCTCATCCAGGTAGATTTTTTCTGTAGTTCGGTATTTACAGTATTGGCTAGCGTGACTGGGCTCAAGTGAGAAAAGGGACGTATGTAGTGTCATCTGCAAATAGTGTGGGTTTGAGTAATTGCAAAAGCATTTGGTAGGTCATTTATGTATAGGAGAAAGAGAAGAGGGCCAAGGGCACTTCCCTGTGGGACACCACTGTAATTGGTTGCGCAGAAGAGTTTGCCCCCATTTGCGTACACATATTGGCTTCTGTTGCTGAGGTAAGACTTGGGGTAGTTGAGGGAGTGCCCCTTAAACCAAGTGTGAAAATTTTACGTGGAGCAATCAGGGTCAACTGTATCAAAAGCTTTACGTAAGTCAATGAAGATCCCCAGTGGGACTTCTTTTTCTCTATTGCAGTGTATATATGTTCTAGCATGTGTATAAAGCATCATTAGTATTTTTATTAGGCCTGAATCCAAATTGGCAGGGGTTTGAGTATTTTTTGGGAGATAAGGTAGGAGTAATTCGTTTATGAATTAATTTTTCGAAGATTTTTGAGAGAGGGTGTAATTTGGATATTGGCCTATAGTTATTCAACTCTTTTTGGTCTCCTCCTTTGTGGATGGGGGTGACCCTTGCTTTTTTTGAGTACTGTATGGAAGGTGGAGGATTCAGTGGATTTGTTAAAGAGTGTTGCAATGATTGGTGATAGCACTTTTTTGCCCACTTTTTTGTATATAAAGGGTGGTAAGGTATTTAAATCTCCTGCCTTTTTTTTTTAGTGCGTTGATAATAAGGAGACTTCGTATGGTTAGTCGGAGCTGGGAACAGTGTGTTCGGGTAGTTGCCGGTGAGGTAGTCATTTGGTGGGGTATCTGAGCTTGGGATTTTTTTGGGCAAGGTTTTGTCCAAATAGTGGAGAAAAATCATTGAGTCTGTTTGCTGTTTCTGTTGGTGGGAGTTGGGGTTCATCTGATTTTGCTAATTTTATTTTGCTATTTTGTGATATCTTTTTTGTTCCCAGATTTTCTGATAGGGTTTTCCAGGTCTTTTTTATATCACCTCGTAAGTTGGATAATCTGTTCTCATAATACAATTTTTTTGCCCTTCTTATCAGGCGGTTTAGGATTGACGAGTAACGTTTTGTTTGGTCTCTGGTTATGTGACCCATTCTGTACTGTTTTTCATATTGGTGTTTTGTATTTATGGATTTGAGAATGCTGGGTGTTAGCAGGGACTGTTCAGTCTCTTTGCTGTCACTGTTTAGTTTTTTTAGGGCAGTGCTTGTTATAGAGGTATTTGGGTCTTTTTTAGAAAATTATTAATACATTCTCAGTGTGCCAATCAAGTTTGCTACTGCTGTTGTGAAGTTATTAATGGCTGCCTCATTGTGAATCTGAAGGTGACTTTAGTAGTGTCTTGGGGTAGTTTACCAAGAGTGTTATGAGGAAAGTAGGGTAGTTGGGCTGTGGTATTATCTGTAATTATGCCTGATTTTAAAGGGGATTGGTGTTGGTCCAGATGTGGTCAAGTGGGAAACACTAGTCTCTGTAACTCTTGTAGGTTTTGTTACTGTTGGTATAACATACAGTTACTCATTGTGTTTGTGAATTCAGTAACGTGTGGGTCCTGGTCTTGCAGGAGATTTATATTGAAGTCACCTGAGAGTAGTAAGTGTTTTTTGTTCATGTGTGCATCAGTTATCATACTTCCTAGATTTTGACTAAATTGGCTAATGTTTGACTGTGGAACTCTGTAGATGTTTATCAATGTGAGAGGTTTTTGTAGGTATTTGGATTTGAATTTAGTATTATATATTCCCCATGTTCATCCCCTTTTGCAAGTATTAATGATACATTCTAGTTGGTCTGAGTATATATGGCTGTGCCACCCCCCTTTTTGGGCTGGCTCAGTTGTGTATGGCTGTGTAACCAGGAATGGCATAGACATCTGTACTATCAGGCTTTGCCCGGTTTCAGTTTAGTGTAATGATGACATATTGGCATGTAAGGGTTTAGTAATGCTATGAGGTCATCGTAATGCTTGCTTAAAGATCTGATATTGTAGTTAAAAATAGTTATGTTGTTGTTGGCACTGAGAAGTGCCTTTGATTGTTCTGCTTGTAGTAATTACAGTAACTGTTTGAATCATTTAAGTCATTAAATAAAGGTTGGTATCAGGATCAATGCTTGTAATCCTAAGATTTGTAGTGAATCTATAGTTTGAATTAAGTATAAAACAAAGTAAATAGTCTTAAGCTAAAAATAGCACCTGGATTATTTAACAAATGTAAAATTTAAAGAGCTAAGGGAATAATACAAATAAAGTGATGATCAAATAATGGAGCTTGGGAATATGATAGTAGGTATACTATAAAGGTAATTTTTTAAAGTTAGATTATAGTATAAAATTATAATATAAAAGGGAACAATATAGGTTGTGGTGAACATAAAGTGGGAATCAAATAAATGAGCTTTGGAATATAATGGGAAAATTGTGAACTTATTCTACTTTAGGGACCTGAGAATAGCACCTTGATTATTTTAACAATTGTGAATATTAAACTAGGATAGTTATATAAAGCAAAATAAAAAAGGGGAAAAATATAGGGACTAAAATTAAGTAATGGTAAGCAAAGTTAATTGGACAGAATGGTAGGAATTATAATATTTAACTTATAATATAAAAATTTCAATTTGAAATGGTACTTGCAATTGCACTAGAGTCTGGTATAGGTTGTTTGACAAGATCAAGATTATAACTAGATTTAATTGACAAATAAAATTCACAATTAAAGTACCAAAAGAAAAATAGTAAAAAAAAAACAATGGTAATGTCTTGGTTATAAATGATAGTAAGAAGGTAGAAGGGACCCAGGAAAACAGGTTACAGGATAATATAAAGTTGGGGGTTAATATAAAAACTTGAAAATTTGGCAACAAAATGTTAAAGGGAAGTATTTAAAAAAAGTTAATACAAAGTTTTTAAA